GGCATCGGAGCCTTCAAGTCTAAGGCCAAGCAGATCAGCTTGTTGGTGGGGGGGCTGTGCCGAAGCAGAATAGGTTCAAATCTCAGCATTTCAGTGCCGTAAGGCATCATTTATCCGTGCCTCACTTTCCCCATCTGAAAATGAGGGCGATTTAATTTTGAGAGACTCGGGTGAAGGGCAGCAGGTCAGTGCGACATCGGCAGGGTGAAAGTGAAGGGCACCAGGACAACCTGACGTTCACATGGGGAAGCATTGCAATAGCTTGCCCAAAGCCACCCAGCTAATCAGTGGCAGAAATACTGCAGACTGCCAGTGCACTGCTGTCACTATTAGTGAAAGCGAAGGGCACCAGGACAACCTGACGTTCACATGGGGAAGCATTGCAATAGCTTGCCCAAAGCCACCCAGCTAATCAGTGGCAGAAATACTGCAGACTGCCAGTGCACTGCTGTCACTATTAGACAGCACTGCCTCAAAGTCCCAGGCCCCCCTGGAGCTGAACACCCCTGCTCTAACGTTTGCATGGGTGCAGCCAGGATTGTCAGTGGGACTCTCACCTTTTCCAACAAGCCATGGGAAACAAGAGGAGCGAGGGAGCTGCTGTGGAAACCAGAAGACAAAGAGGACTCCTCAGAATCCAGCAAGGCAAGAGGCTTCTCAGGAGGTGCCCTGGGATCGTGGTTAAGAGGATTCAGCTGAAGTGTCTTCTGGTGCCACCACCTCAGAGCCTCCCGCAGTCGGCGCTGCTCCAAAGCTTGGGAGAAGGCACTGAGGAGGAGGAGGGGAGAGTGAGGAAAGTTTGCATATGGCGCAGCAGATTGGCGATGGGCTATAACAGGGCTACTCAACTTCGGAAGCCCCAGGGGCCACAATGATACTCACAGCACATGCTAAGGGCCGCAACTTAAGTGTGGCTGCATCTACATGCAAATATATATGCAAATAGCTTTTGCCACTGACGGGCATGAATACAAAGATTAAGGCAAAACTACACGACACACAGACCCCGTTTAAGTCAGTTCTGCTGATATTATTAAAAGGCAATATTTACCCGATTTCTACCTTTTAACGACTAAACCCATGTCAACAGAAGACCATTACATTGGCTCCACCTGTGGGCCACGTGTTGAGCCCCCCATAAACCCAAACTGCACCGTGAGCCACAAACAAAACAGGCTGCTGGCTGCATGTGGCCTGCAGGCTGTGTACTGAGTAGCCCTGGGCTATAGGGTCTTTCATCTCAAGGTTGCTATTCAAACCCTGCCCAGCTCAGTAGGGCGAGTGACCATGGGACGGTTGTTCCACAGTGGGTGAGGGGTCTCACCCGAGAGTCACCTGATGGATCCCACCACGGTAACTGGCATTAACGGCCCTACACAGCCACAGGGAGGCCAAGTACTGAGTGGAACATGGAGACTGCCCCAGCTCCTAGATCACTGAGGCACACTGGTGGGGGCAGAGAAAGGAAGACCGTGCTGTGCTGATTTCTGAATCCGTGATGGGTTCTAGCACCAGCCTCCACCCCTCCATTTCCAGACTCAGGGCCTGCAGCAGGTCCTTGAAGAGCCTTGCAGAACACTTGCCCTTCAGATAGTGACACGCCTACCCTTGAAGAGCCGACTGACTGTCTTTCAGAACACTTGCCCTTCAGATAGTGACACGCCTAGTACCATGGGCAGCAATGCAGGCATCTCTTCCCCATCACACTAGATATGATGCAGCTGTGGGTATAAAAAGCTCTGAAATTCAGGATCAACGAGAAGGAAACCTCTCATACACATTTTAGGGGGGCGCCGCTAAGGTACCTTCAGAAGTAATCTCTTTCCTGCTCCTAGGCAGGGACCTCTCCTGACAGAGCAGCCCAAAGCCCCTCCTGGCAGCCTCTGTGGTTGGCATGGACAGCACACATGCACAGACCCTCAAAAAGGTCTCACTGGGGCCATGATAAGCCCCTCAAAGGCTTTCGATAGGTTAGACAGATCCCTTCAGTTCATTCCTTTGAATGTAATTTCATCTGTACCAGAAAGAGAGAGACTCTGTGGCAGGCACAATTTGAGAGACCAAAGTGGTTTCTTGCTCAGGGACCCAGAGGAAACTTGGGATTCCAAGAATCCAAGTGTTCCCTCAGCCTTGGATCTTAACACTTACTCAGCCTGTTGCTGCTGACAGAGCCTCGCCTTCCACAGCAGAAATATCCTCTGGAGTGTCATTCGCTGATAGAGCTCATCTAAAGAGCCACCTCTTTTCCCCAGGGGCCATCTCCTTACTGCTAAGCATGGATGAGCTTCATCTTCCTTCGTCGCAGACCCACTGGCAGTTGAGCTGACTTGTCCTTTTCAGGTCACAGACAGACAGGAGAGAGAAAGAGACACACAGAGAGAGAAGCCATTTGTCAGGAGTGATTCTTCAATGCTCAGAAACTCAGCTGGATGCAGGGGACAGCCACCAACTACCCCGCCCCACAGCTTCCTTGCTAGATTACTCTTGTGTTTCCTTCTAGGCTTAGCAAGACCCCATCTTCCTGCAGTGTCACTAAGCTGGCCAAGGGGGACAACCCTCTTCCCAACTTGCCACTTCACATTAGTGTCATGTTTCCTCTTGAGTGCAGCAGACCTGACTCATGCTGCCCAAGGAAAAGCTCCCATCCAGTCTGCAGTGCCCCACAAGCGGAGGGGAAAGCAGAGGCACTTCCATATCTTCTGATCCTAAGGGGACTAGATAGGTCCTCAGCTCCTCACCATAACATCTCCTCTGCCTCAGGATCAGCAAGTTCATCGTTGTCCTCTTGTCTGCTTCATTGCGCTGCAGCATCAGGACCCACTGCTGGAAGCACTTCCTCAAGGACCTTGCCCTGTGATGTTCCAGGCTGTGCCTGCACAATGCCTTCCGCTCCACAAACTGCCTCCAGGCTCGGAAGCACCTGAGGAGACCAAAAAATAAAATAAATCCAGCTGCAACTGGTTATTTCTGGCAGTTATGGGACTTTTGTGAATCAGGCTTCCCTTGTCCTTAGCTCGTTCCCAGAGTGCTTGGGTAATGTCGGGATCTTGGGAGAATGCTACAGTCCCTTGAACTAATCATCTTCCACTTCTCGGTCCTAGACCTGACTCCAGACATCTTGCTACTGGATGGCTATTGGGTGCCTACATGACATGAATTGGGCTTTTCAGGCCAGTTCCCGATGGACAGGAATCCACTGCACCCAAACAGCAACTGGCCCCCTTATTGACAGTCTCAACAGAAAAACCAATAGCTGGATGAGCCATGGGGACTGAACTATCCTCTCAATCCTCTTCCCAGGTCAATGGTGAGGCCTCTTAGTGGGACTGTACTGGGGAAGTTTGCACGAGTACTGCCTGTGCTGTACCTGATCTTTGGATAAGCAGAGGATTCAGTCGTCCGGGACCAGTGTGATCATCGACTCTGCCCTCTTGTATAACACAGGCCTTAGGATTCCCTGAATTAACTCCTGTTCGAACTAGAGCGGATCTTTTAGACAAGTATGTGATCTTGACAGGGATGTCAACATATACGATTAACCAAGAAGACTAGACTTATCGGTTAATCTTGTTGACTACTCACATCCCCCCCTCCGCTGCCTCTGTATTAGAAGCAGCAAAGTGGGAGGAGCAGGAGCGGTGCCCATGAGGAGCTGGCTTTAAGCAGGCTCCTCACAAGCACCATATCTGCCTGCCCACCTTACCCCCGCACTGCTGCCTCTGATAGAGTGGCAGCAGTGCGGAGGGCGAGGGAGTCAGGCTGGAGTCAACCCATGCATGCCGGCTCTGCAGTGCTGTGTGTCCCCACCGTGCTGCTCCCTGTATCAAAGGCAGCAGCGCTGGGGGGTGAGGGTAGGCGAGGCTGCCACAAAGCAGTTTCTGTCCACAGCAGGACCGAGCTCCCTGCAGACAGGGGCTGCCGCCACCCTGCGCTGCTGCCTCTGTATTAGAGGCAGCAGCTCCAGGCAGCTGGTAGCTGGTCTGCAAGGGGAACTGGTTTTTAAACTGGCTCCCCTCTGATAGAGAAGCAGCAGCATGGGATAGCAGGGAGCTCCCCAGGAGTGGGACTGGGAGAGCTCTGGCCGCTGGCCTTGCCCCCAGGGACTATCGAATAGTCATGTAACTGATAAAATTGTATGCGATGACATGACAATTCAATGACCCGATAGCTAACATCCCTAGATCTTGACTTTAAAATTTCCAGTGATGGAGATTCCACCACGATCCTTGGCAAGCTGTGGTAGACATCAGTCTACAACGTTAAGTTCTTACACACAACACAGTCTGAATCTTTCATATGGGCGCTGTCACAGGGTGGGATAATGTCAAGTGAAGGGAGACACCAGTGCTATTAGCGTGCCAGCCTTTTTCAATTCTGGAGACCCGAGTTCAAGTCTCAAATTGGGTCAGGAAAGGAAAAGGAGTTGGGTTCTTCTCTCCTAATCCGTTTGCCCACATCACAAACTCAGCGCACCCTTTGTAACAATTCAGCAAGGTTGGCAGTCTCTGGTTTGGTGACTAGGCTAGCAAAGCACAGAGCTCACACTTGACTTGACTGAGCTGTGCAAGGGAGGCTGCCCCATACTGGTCCATGTGACGTCTGTCTCTACCCATTGCCCCACATCCTCCCATAAGCACTGACTTAATCTCCAACTATTTAGAGCAGTAAGAAGGGAAGGGCTTTGTCCAGAATTCCATAGAGTCATTCTGGGTTGAATCTGTCACTGCCTGGCTTTTCACAACAGAACATGTTCCAGACTGAATCTGACATTCCCAGGGGAAGGAAGCTGCACCACATTTTCTTACCGAGCAGCCAGCTCTCTCCGGATCTGACTCAGCAGAGGCCAAATCCGCTCGGTTTCCAAGCTTCGTGAACGCCATGCTCGGAAAACACTCTGTAGCTGCTTCTTCTCCAGCAGGGCCCGGGCTTCCTGCACTCTGGCCTCCTCTTTGTCCAGCAGCTCCTTCTGCAAGTGCCACAGTCTGAAAGCTGCTGTGTTACAAGACCAGATAAAGGGAGGGGGGGGGAGAGAAAAACTGGATCTGAAGAGAACTTAAAATGTTGGAGGATAGGGTCATAATTCAAAATCATCTGGACAAACTAGAGAAATTGACTGAGGTAAATCTAGGGATTAGAGTGGACCACAAACTAAATATGAGTCAACAATATGACACGGTTGCAAAAAAAGCAAATACTATTCTTGGATGCATCAACAGGAGCGTTGTGAGCAAGACACGAGAAGTCATTCTTCTGCTCTACTCTGCACTGATTAGGCCTCAACTGGAGTATTGTGTCCAGTTCAGGGCACCACATTTCAGGAAAGATGTGCAGAAACTGGAGAAGGTCCAGAGAAGAGGAACAAAATGATTAAAGGTCTAGAAAACATGACCTACGAGGAAAGGCTGAAAGAAGTTGGTTTGTTTAGTTTGGAAATGAGATGATTGAGAGGGGATAGGGTAACAGCTTTTAAGTACCTAAAAGGGTGTTACAAGAAAGAGAGAGAAAAATTATTCCCCTTAATCTCTGATGATAGGACTAGAAGCAAAGGGCTTAAATTGCAGCAAAGGAGGTTTAGGTTGGACATGAGGAAAAACTTCCTGTCAGAGTGGTTAAGCACTGGAATACATTGCCTAGGAAAGTTGTGGAATCTCCATCACTGGAAATATTTAGAGCAGGTCAGACAAACATCTATCAGGGATGATCTAGATGGTGCTTGGTCCTGCCATGAAGGTAGGGAACTGGACTTGATCTCTTGCGGTCTGTTCCAGCTCTAGTGTACTATGATTCTGTGTTTTCATACCATCACATCGGTGGGACTCCTGCAGGCAATGGCTGGGCACTGCCAAGAGAAAGCTCACATTGCTGTGGCCAGAGCATCTGCTACCACTGAACTCATGTAGGAGATAAGGCAAAGGAGGATACAAACAGAACAATAGGTATCCAGTCCTATGAGATGCTGAGCAGTCTCCACTCCCACCAGTCACTGCTCAGCACTTCATAAGAACGGCCGTACTGGGTCAGACCAAAGGTCCTTCTAGCCCAGTATCCTGTCTGCCAACAGTGACCAGCACCAGGTGCCCCAGAGAGGATGGACCGAAGACAATGATCAAGCGATTTGTCTCCTGCCATCTCTCTCCAGCTTCTGACAAACAGAGGCCAGGGACACCATTTTATCCCTTGGCTAATAGCCTTTTATGGACCTAACCTCCATGAAATTATCTAGCTTCTCTATCACTTCACAGGACCAGGTCCTGAAAGGGCAAAGACAAGGCAGGAATTCGAGATCAGCAGAGCAGTCAGGTGAAATGCCACCTTCCTTCCAGCCTGGAGCATACTGTTCAACCACATCTGTCAAATGCTCTGGAGCAAGTGCTTACCAGCCAGCCGCCTCAGGTCCCTGATGGCCTGTATCCTCTGGCAGAGCTCGTCTGCTCTCTGCCTGCGATGAAGCTGCCTCCACAGGTCTGCCTCCACCCTGAAAAGTCCCAAGCTCACGTTTAACCCCAGAGATCACTAGAGAGGGCCCTAGCAGATCCAAAGCAAGGGAGGGGTTACAACCAAGGCCTCCCTTTCCTCCAGGGCTGTTCCTGTCCTGGACTCAGCTCTTCTACCACAGAACCTGAGCAAATACGTCTTTCCCCTTGCTACATCCATCCTCCTGCCAGGGATGGATGAAGAATCGGATGATGACTCACTGACCCCCCTCCACGCGTGTGGAAAGCAACTGGATTTGAGAAGTCACCCAGGGTTTCCCTCTTGTCCCATCAGCGGCACCAAAATCTGACCAACAATGCTAGCGTGAACATGTCTGAGGTAGGATCCTCCAGTGCTCAGAGGCCGTAAGTGTAAATTCCCGCCCGGGAAACCCTCTCTTGTCTCCCCAGAGCTGGGAAGGATTGTGCACCAGCTCACCCTACAAGTGTAAATTCCCGCCCTGTAAATCCTCTCTTGTCTCCCCAGAGTTGGGAAGGATTGTGCACCAGCTCACCCTTCAGCTGAGCTTCTCTTACTAAAGAAAATTCCTCTGCCTCCAGCTCCAGCCTGGCAGCCATCCAAGACAAAGAGCCATTGATGAGAAAATCCCAGCTTACCGGCTGTTCCTCTGCCTCCAGCTCCAGCCCAGCAGCCATCCAAGACAAAGAGCCGTTGATGAGAAAATCCCAGCTTACCGGCTAGGCCACATCGCTTCCTGTGAGGACCCTGCAGCCAGCCGGCTCCACACTGGCGCGGTCACAGCTGGACTCCTCCCCAACCTGACGAGATCTATTGGCGACTTCTGGGAGAGAGTCACCGGCTCCTGCTGGGAGGTTTGGCTTTCGTTTCGCTTCACCGCAGCTTCCTTCCACTGGAAGAGGAGCGATATGGTGAGAGCCGCCTGCACCAGAACCCCAGGCCTCAGGCTCCCACTCCACTCTGCACCCTACCCCAGCAGGCTTCTCCTGCCCCCCTTACCACAGGACAGCTCCCTGGTATCATCTCCTCTATTGTCTCCACCATCCTTACCCTGTGAAAGCTGACGGCCAACACAGCCAGGGCGTGTCTGCGCTGGGCAGTCTCCATCTGCACCCTCCTCAGCTGCACCGCCCACTGTAGGGCCCCAAGCCCCTTACGAAGCAGCTGCTGCCTGTACAGCTCCCTAGCTGCAGTCCTCTTCCTGAGGATGTAACCTCTCCAGGCCTGGAAGCACCGGGCTAGTTGTCGCCTATTACCCAGCACCTGAGAGCTGAAACAGAAATGAGGGACTGAACTCCAAACTTAGGAAGGAAGGTCAAATCCAGCCAGGACACATCAGTAGGAATCAGTGTTCCCTCAGATTTTTCCCATATATGGGCAGAGTAAATGTGTGTGTACCGAGACAAGTGCAAAAGTGCACCACCCATAGACACAAAACCTGGCCGTGAGCACTCTGCTAATCAGCTGGGCTGTATTGGAATCTCCCGAGTGGACGCACAAGCGCCCAGCTTACAGGGTACACTGGTAGGAATCCATCTCCTTGTCTAGCAATCACCACCTCAGCTAGTCCTCTTATTCCCATGGACTGTGATCCCAAGCTTCTCCAAAGCGGCTTCCACACCACGTACTCAGCCACAGCCCTGCACCAAACAGGCGTAAGTATTGCTTTCTGCTTTCTGCTGGTAGCTACCAAGATGAAAGTTAAAAGATGTGCCAAAGAGGGGTTTTTTAGTATACTCCGTTCAGGATGCTGCATGTATTTATATTCAAAGGGCTCACTACTCTCCCCACTCTACATGTGTCCTGCGGTATTGTCCCTGGAACCATGCCACACATTTCCCATGGCAACCCCTGACCCCAACCCCATTTTACCTTCTCTCCTTCATCTCCAAACATGGGAAGCTGCTCTCTGGATCCTACAGGTAAGAGCAGACAGTGACACACTGGTATTAGCCACCATATGTGCTGGTTTCACAAGTACTCACAACCCACAGGTGGAAGAATCAGTCTGTGGTTGGGGTGGTGGGCAACCTCACACCACCCTTCTGGTTGGGAAAGTCTAACGTCCAGCCATGAGGCTAGGTGGTCCCAGCTGCCTGCCTCGGCTCAATCTATGCTGAGTAGAGCCTTGCTCTGCAAGTGCTTCCTTTAATTTCAGCATGAGAAAGAGTGGGAGAACTGGCCTTCAGCGCTCCATTGCCACGCCTGCAACAGAGTCAGAGCCACCATGCTGCCTTCCCTCCCTGGGTATGCTAACATGCAAAGGTGACGGTGACGCTTACTCTAAGGCCCACATCAGAGATACGAGCGGGACGGACCACCACTCTGCCCCTTCAGGGAAGAGAAATGAACAGGAGAACCTAGATGTCATGCACTGACAGCAGCCTTACCCATGGTGGTAACACGTCCTGCACCTGGCTGCTTTCCTCGCAGTTCCACACTTTCCTGCTGCTCCTTTCTGCAGGAAGCATCTCAGATTGGTCCTGGTCAGCACTGAGCCCCAGAACCCTGCAGGCCTCCTGGGAGTGTTCTTCAATTCCTCCCTCGCTGGGAGCATTTGTACCATCCATGTCAGTGGCAACCAAGGAAGGTTCACTGGGACCTTGGCTGGCTGTTCCCCTCAAAAGGCTGTACCGGTGACCAGGCACAGACCGCCTGTTATTCACCATGGCTGTTCTCCTGGCAGCAGACAATATGGTGTCACAAGCTTTGACTGACACTCCCTGGTCTTCTTCAGGAGGCTCTGAGGCGCCGACATCTATGGAGCCCACACTAAGCTGCTGGACTTGACTGATCCCTGCATCTCCAGAAGGAGACTGGACTTCCAGATGGACTTCCCTTGGAGTCCCATACACAGTGACACTGACATTCACTGGAGACCCACCCTCCTGTGTCTCCAGTGAAACCTGCAGATCACCTGGGTCTGACCCAGAGGGAAGGGCCTTCCTGCAACACATCGCACAGGGTGCTGCTCTGGCAAAGGATTCTTCTGCCCCAAGTGGCTTTTCAGGGAAATTAGTTTTTGTGCGGCCAAATGTGCCTCCCCCTTGAGTGTGCGGTGCCTGAGATTGATACTTGCGGTAGGGAGAGCTCTCCTGGGGACTTCCTGCTTCTGTATCCACCAGGCAGACTGAGCTGGCACCTGTACAGAGGGATCCTGGCCAGATCCTACCTGACGCTTTGCTTCTTTGCAGATATAATTCAGTATTTCTGCACCTCTGACAAAGAGAGGTAGGTTCGGCTTCCCCCAAGTCATAGGACACTGAACCAAGATCCCAGTCCCTAACAAATGGGGGAACCCATTTCATTCTAGCCTGCTTAGCACTGCTCTGGTCTCTGGCAAGCTGCTCCCCCACACTCAGGACAGCAGGTGCAAAGCACATCCTGCAAGCGCGTGGAGAAGACCTGGGATCCAAAGGGAGGGAGCTCCATATCCCCATGAAAGCAGCTTCTTGCTGAAGCCTCTGGATTGAGCAGTGCAGGCTGGCAGAGGTCTTGGAGGACTTCAAGAGAGACTGAAGGGCCGCAGAGCTGGGAAGGGGCTCAGCCAAGCTGGGGGGACCTAGTTCGTCCAAGGTGAGGGCAGGCCCCGGACAAAAGGAGTTCACACTTCTTTTGGAGCTCCCTGGAGAGGGACATACCATTGGGCTATGGGGGGGAAGGAGCCCCGCAGAGGTGATTACAGGCACTACTGTGGGGGAGAGGAACTCTGTACTAGCTCGTAAAGGATCCCCATCATCTGCACCATAAGTCACGTGAGGTCCACGTTGCTGCTTTTTCACTGCTTGCTCATTGCTCTGGTTTCGTCCCTCTGGAAGGTGATAGCAGGAGCACTGCACAGAGGATTGGTCCCAGGGGCTAACCCCCTCCTTTGGTTTCCTCCTGTCCTGCAGGCTCTTCTCTGCAAGGTGGACACTCACATTCTCCCCACTTCCTGCTCCCCCAGTTGTGTCAAGGCAGGAGCGTCTCCGCTGAAGATCCACATGGGGCGGAGCTGATGAAGGCAGCGGGGGATTGCCACATCCCACCTTTCCAGAGCTGTGCCGCTGCAGCCTGCAATAGAGGTTATTTTGCTGCTGGGAACAGAAGTTGGAGAGCGGGATAGCAGCAGCCCTGAGAGGCTGAGAAGGGCAAGAAAGATTAGTCTGTATCAGGCTGGGATCCCTCTTCTTGTCCCCTTTGCCTTTCACAGCTGGTGCAGTCCTGCCTGTCTCCACTTCCCAGCCAGGGGTTACAGTGAATGCACCAGCACTGGGCCACTGATGAGTAGCTTCAGCTTGGCTTCCAGTGCCCAAATACAGATTCACATTCACATTCTTCTGAATATTTCTGTGCTCTGAAGACAAACAACAACAGTTTGTTTAAAGAGAGAATCGGTAGTTCATTACCACATCCCCAGCAGCATAGATTTCCACACACCTCGAGGGCCCCCATATAATGAACCTCTTCTCTCCAGTCAGCCTCAATCCCAGAACTGAAAATACCATGAACTTCACTGGGTTCCTGTTAGAGAGAGACACCATCTTCTGGCAGGGCAGGAGGAATTTTAAGAGAACAGCCCCAGGTCTCAAAAGGAGCCTAGCAGCCTAGAAAAAGAAGGATCTCTTCTAGCATAATTACACCTGCAGCCACCAATTGCTAAGGCCAGTGCCATTCTTACCCATTTACGTAGGGCACTTGAAAATTTGGGCACCACTGGGTCTTAATGTCCACTCAGCCATCTCTTCCTATCCTTGTTCTGTGGCTCTGCTTCCTTTGGAGAGGATCTAGGTAACTTTAAAGTGACAATGCCTCCCAGACCCATTTGCAGAACATCTAACCTGTGAAAGAGCCATTCAAGTGGTAACAAAGCCATTTAACAGGCATTTGCTCACCCCAGATGTATCCTGTCAGTTTCTGAACTCACTGTCTTCCCCCCTCCCCCATTTTTTTCCTTCTCCCACCCTCCCTTCCCTTATTTATTCTTGAATCTGGACTTCCAACACTCCTGTCATCTTAAGTGAGTTGTGCCCATGAAAGTTCATGATACCATCTACATCAGTGGTCCTCAATGTTTTGGGGCTGCCGGGCGCCTGGGGGCGGGGCTACTCACGCGCTGCGCGTATGGGGGCGGGGCCGCTCACAGGCCACGTGACTGGGGCGGGGCCAAGCATGCACCGCACGCCCGAGGTCGGCACCGGCATGTGCTGCGATCCTGGGCAGGGGCTGCCCAGGTTCCGTGCGGCGCCCCCGGGGGCGGGGTCAAGGCCAGCGCCAGGGGCTGCCCCCGGGGGCGGGGCCAGAAACAGAGCTGGAATAAAGTACAGTACGGGGGCGGGGGTCAGGGTCGGCACCGGCATGCGCGGCGCACCCGGGGGCGGGGCCGGCCATGTGCCCGGGGCTGGCACCTGCCGCACTCCCGGGGGCGGGGCCAGCCCAGATTGCTCTGCAGGCGCATGTAAAGGGCCCGGCGGGCGCCATGGCGCCCGCGGGCACCGGGTTGGGGACCACGGATCTACATGTTTTGTTAGTCTTTAAGATGCTGCTAGACTATTTGTTGTTTTGTAAGTATTTCCTGTTACAGACTAACTCAGCTACCCCTCTGAAGCTTTTGAATTTATTGAGTTAGTTGACAGGACCTTAATCTAAAATTTGCTTTGAACATATATCATTACTATGTTGCTGAAGATTATAAAATCACATCTCTAAAAAAAATTGCCCCCAGCTGTCGTGCGGCATAGGAGCACCAGTTCCATAGTACTGCATAGAGCCCCATAAATCCTAAGGATAACCCCGGTTAAGGCCCTAGTTAAACTTCAGCTCAGGATCCATTAGCCAGAACCTTGACTAAATATAGGTTTTGCTAGTAAGATGCGAATACAGTTGACCCCTGGCCAGAGCACGTACTAGTCTGACTCTACAGATGGTTTTCTATAGAATGAGTAGGCCCAGCTGCCATCAAATTAGCAAGATCCGTGTTTAAACAGTTCCAAACAAGGTGGTTAGTTGAACTGGAGCATGGACACTCCCTCGTCTGTGTCAGCAGGGCATAGGTCTCATCCACTCTAATTCCTCCATGGTTGGGGTACCTGATAGTGCCCTGGCTGAACAGATGCAACTGAACTTTGTTTTAACCACGTTCCCAAATCATGCAAGAGTCCAAGGCTGCCAGCACATTGAGGAATCACAGTTTAGTCTTGTCTACATTACAAGACCAGAGCATGTTTTAAGTAGAGCTGAAGTGCACATAGGTCACTAATTAGCAGTCTTGCCTCTGTTCAAAGCCCACTCCAGGGTATAGGCTCATACCCATTGTTGAGATACCAGGTCAGTCTGAGGGGGCTAGGTGCTTTCATTCCCCTGACTTCTGTAAGAAGATTGGCAGGAACTATTACCATTCACCTCTTTTTAATGCTTACAGGAAGAAATCCCCACCACTACTCCCATCTTCCTGGCCCGTTGGTTGATTAAAATAGGAAATCACTTATTTCCAGCCACACAAATCAGAGTATCAGAGACAAGTAGGGGGAAATGACAGAACAGCTTGAAGTTAGCAGTTTAACTAGGTCACTTTAGAAAAGGGGGGGCAGTGAATATGAGCTGAAAAGTACATTCTGAAATATACTCACACACGTCCCCCCCTTCAGCAAACTCAGTGAATCGGGGGAGCGCCCCCCATTTGTTAGGGACTGGGGTCTTGGTTCAGTCTATGAAATGAACACCAATCATCTTTGTCACATGAAGAGTGTTGGGAAAAATACACTTGAAAGCCAACATTATCTTTAGTCAGGTGTTACAGACTGAGGCTTAATTCCAGACTATGTACATTTCTTCCTCTTTCTCCTGGAAAAAGGCCCGGACTGTGGGTGCTTCTGACACAGAAATTCAGCCATTGATCTGATCAAAGCCGGGAAGGAGACACTCATTCACTGATACTACAATTATCTGTTGGGAACGTCTGGCACGGTCTTTTATGCGTTCTCAAACATATTGCAAAGGGGAAGATTTTAATTAGGGGCTGGCATCTAAAAAGCGAACAGACTTTCCACAAGTTTCCAGCGTGGCATCGGTGCCTATTCTTGCATAAAGCATAATCACAAAGCACAGCATGATGGTTCTTCAAAAAAGGATTCATTGCATCCCAGGAATTTCCACACAGCTAGCAGCATGTTGCAAAAAAAAAAAAAAGGGGGGGGGGGGGGGAGTTTGATGATAAGCCCAAGTCACAAAGGGATAAGCCCCTTCAGGTGCTGTGTTCCCTTCTGTCAACGCTCACCACAGTGTCATATCCGTCTGTTTTTAAATTTAAGAATCTAGCAGCTATAAGCAAACAATCTCCCTCATATAGACACATATGCTATGCCAGTCCAGATTACATTTCTTTCTGCCAAGCACTAGGTCCTTACCACATAGCTAGGATTAGATTTTAACAACTGTTTTACCCAACCCATTTAGATCTCATGCAGACTAGAAAAAAATGGTATATATTAAATCCACATTAGCTAACCTGTGTTAGTTAACGCTTTGAGAAATGTCATCCCAATTCTAGTGAGGATGCAGTTTCACAGTTTAAAAATCAGGATTTATTGATCAAGGCCAACAAGATTTTTAAAAGTGTCTAGACCAGTGTTTCCCAAATGGTGGTCCGCAAAATGAAAATAAGAAAATTCCATTACAATAATATTTTATTATTTAAAAATAATACTTAATATGTAAGCATTTATTAATTTTATTGAAAACAATTTTCATTTGTGTTTGCCACAATAAGTGTCCCTGTGTAATGCCAGCTTAGCCAGAGAGTAAGGACAATGATGTCACTACTCAGTGCTGATGTCCATATATTAGACTTATTATTAGGGGTTCTGCAAAATTCTTTCAAGTTTAAAAGGGTTCCGTGGCCAAATAAAATTGGGAAACACTAGTCTAGACTAAGAGAAGAGATAAGCCTTAAAAGGGACCCAGGTCAAACTCAGACCCAGATTTAGGCTTCGAAATAAAAACAAGTATTACAAACTCTCCAACCAATTGACTACTTTGTTGTTGGAATTCCAAAGACAATTAGCAGGATTAAAAAAAAAAAAAAACACACCACTACACACAACCAAGTAATTGCAAACTAATCTGTGCAGCACTGACCTAGCACACTGGCACTGGAAAGTGAAACAGACTAGAAACAAAAGTGAAACTAATTAGTTTATTTTCAATGTCTTCTCTGAAAGGAAACAAACAGCATAATTAATAAAAAGTCAACTGGGTTGTTTTAAATTCATTCTGTTTCAATACTAATAGGCTTTATCAATAACAAAGGAAACATGCAGCATTTAAAACAGATCAAAGATGGTAGATTTTTATGTTTCACAGGTGAGGAAACTGAGCCTAAAGTCACAGTGATTCCAGACTAGAGATTTCCTGATTGCTCAGAGCAGTGGACCACCATGCACATAAAGGGCTTGTAACCCAATAGTGGATTCTTTCCCCATCCACAGAGATTTAAGATGGTAGATTTTTACATTTCACAGGCAAGAAAACGGAGACTTAGAGCAGTGACTTGCCCAAGGTCACACAGTGATTCTGGACTAGAGATTTCCTGATTGCTCAGTGCTATAGACCACCACGCGCATGGGCTTTTAACCCAATCTTGACTCACTGAGTTTAGATAAGAGGCACGCAAATGTTACTTTGCTGAACAGGAAAATGGGCAGGTCTGCCCTGGCTGCTAAGTGATAGTCAGACCTTCTCTCCCCTTAATCTTGCAGTACTTTATGCCCTGCACACTCTGCCTGCCAAGAACCATACTAGCTCCCATGGTGGTCCACTAACAGCACTGTAATCTGTACCGGGTTGGGTTAGAGGGAAATCTCTCCCTGGGCCGAGCCTGGAGGAGCTAAGCTGTTCCCAGGGGAAATTGCTCTGGCACACAACCCAAGCGCCACAGCCACACGACAAGGTGTAGCTCATATAGACAGTGGGACTGTCTCTTTTTGGGCTAAACCACCTCCCCTGTATGAAGTTACTCACTTCGATAGCCACCACAGGACATGCCGCTTGCTCCAGCCAGGACCTCGGGGACGAGAACAAATGTCTCTGTGTGTTTGGCTCTCTGAACTCGCTGCAAACCTGAAGCTTTGTCCACTTAATGCCCCAAATCCCAGCAGCAAGTGCACCCCAGCTGAGGCACTTTAAGAAGCTTATCACCCATGATTAGTGATGCTGGCTTGTCATTGTGATTACAGATGTCCATGGAAAAGAAGCTTTGACCCATGTCTAATTAGAGCTACATCCTCAGGATGGCACAGATAAATTAGCTAACGGGGAAATGAAAAGCAGTGGACCTCACGTCATGACACCCAGTTTGGTAGGTTACCTGGACAGACACTAGGTAACAGTGTCATGTGCCCTAAAAACATCACAGCAGACACAGTTGCTTACCTGACTGCAGATAGCGTCTCAGCAGAGGCGGGATGTTTTCCTTCTTCCTGCTGCTCAAGCTCCTATTCGTATTCTCCATGCTCTCTACACAGCTCAGACGAGACCTCTGCATGCTGCAAACTGGCTTCATGGAAAGGCCTCTCTCACAGCAATGCAGGCCCACGATGTGGGAGGGAAACCAAACCTACCACATCAGGGGGAGCAGGCTGTAATAGCAGCCAGATCTGTGTGTTCCAAGCTACAGACTCAGATGCCCTTCCACCATCCCACGCTGGCCTAACAGCCATGGGCACATCCAGATGTTCCTGGGGCCAGGATGATGTTTCCCATTGAATAGCACATCCCTGAAGTTTTCCCTTGGCTTCCCATAGGCCCCCCATAGAGTGTGCCTCAATGTGCCCCTCTGCACTGCTGGAAAATCAGCTTGTTTGGGCCTGTCTCCCTCCCTCTCCATTGCCCATCAAGCTGGGGCTATGTGTGTGAGTGAGTCAGTCAGTCTGAATTGCCTCTGGTCTCCGGCTGCCTTTCCCCTCACTCTTTTAATGCCCTTGTTTTTCTTTGTGTTTCAGTGTGTCTGTGCTGGGAAGAGGGCAAGGGCTACTGCTGTGTCTGTGCCGTGGGGGCAGAGGGCTCCTGCTGTGTCTCTCTGTGCTGGGGAGGCCAAGGGTTACTGCTGTGTCTGTGCTGGGGCTGCTGTGTCTGTCTGTCTGAGCTGGGGGAGGGTAAAGGGCTACTGCTGTGTCTGTCTGTCTGAGCTGGGGGAGGGTAAAGGGCTACTGCTGTGTCTGTCTGTCTGAGCTGGGGGAGGGTAAAGGGCTACTGCTGTGTCTGTCTGTCTGAGCTGGGGGAGGGTAAAGGGCTACTGCTGTGTCTGTCTGTCTGAGCTGGGGGAGGGTAAAGGGCTACTGCTGTGTCTGTCTGTCTGAGCTGGGGGAGGGTAAAGGGCTACTGCTGTGTCTGTCTGTCTGAGCTGGGGGAGGGTAAAGGGCTACTGCTGTGTCTGTCTGTCTGAGCTGGGGGAGGGTAAAGGGCTACTGCTGTGTCTGTCTGTCTGAGCTGGGGGAGGGTAAAGGGCTACTGCTGTGTCTGTCTGTCTGAGCTGGGGGAGGGTAAAGGGCTACTGCTGTGTCTGTCTGTCTGAGCTGGGGGAGGGTAAAGGGCTACTGCTGTGTCTGTCTGTCTGAGCTGGGGGAGGGTAAAGGGCTACTGCTGTGTCTGTCTGTCTGAGCTGGGGGAGGGTAAAGGGCTACTGCTGTGTCTGTCTGTCTGAGCTGGGGGAGGGTAAAGGGCTACTGCTGTGTCTGTCTGTCTGAGCTGGGGGAGGGTAAAGGGCTACTGCTGTGTCTGTCTGTCTGAGCTGGGGGAGGGTAAAGGGCTACTGCTGTGTCTGTCTGTCTGAGCTGGGGGAGGGTAAAGGGCTACTGCTGTGTCCGTCTGTCTGTCTGTCTGTCTGAGCTGGGGGAGGGTAAAGGGCTACTGCTGTGTCCGTCTGTCTGTCTGTCTGTCTGAGCTGGGGGAGGGTAAAGGGCTACTGCTGTGTCCGTCTGTCTGTCTGTCTGTCTGAGCTGGGGGAGGGTAAAGGGCTACTGCTGTGTCCGTCTGTCTGTCTGTCTGTCTGAGCTGGGGGAGGGTAAAGGGCTACTGCTGTGTCCGTCTGTCTGTCTGTCTGTCTGAGCTGGGGGAGGGTAAAGGGCTACTGCTGTGTCCGTCTGTCTGTCTGTCTGTCTGAGCTGGGGGAGGGTAAAGGGCTACTGCTGTGTCCGTCTGTCTGTCTGTCTGTCTGAGCTGGGGGAGGGTAAAGGGCTACTGCTGTGTCCGTCTGTCTGTCTGTCTGTCTGAGCTGGGGGAGGGTAAAGGGCTACTGCTGTGTCCGTCTGTCTGTCTGTCTGTCTGAGCTGGGGGAGGGTAAAGGGCTACTGCTGTGTCCGTCTGTCTGTCTGTCTGCGCGGGGGGGCTTTACCGGGCACGGCTTAGGAAACCCCCGCCATCAAAAATCACGAGGTAGAACCTACCAGTCACGTTCACCTCGTCGTCTTTCGACGTCTCCAGTTTGTAAAGATCAAGCACTTCTAGTTCTGTCTGCAAGAGGTCCTGGCACCAGAGGGAATGCGCTGCCTTGCCTTGCCTTAGGCCCTACAAAAGCTGTGCTTACCGTTTTTAAAATTGCTATTACTTCTTGGCAGCAGAGTGAGAAAGGGAACTAAAACATCCACACAAATACTTATTTTGAACCCAGAAAATTGTCCCCCCGTCAATAATGAAACATGTAAGGCAAGTCGACCCCTTGGAGCAAACCTCTGTAAATCAAGGAGAGTGGGTGTATTCTACTGGCCATCTTCCGGCTGTGTCTAGACTGGCAAGTTTTTGCGCAAAAGCAGCTGCTTTTGCGCAAAAACTTGCCAGCTGTCTACACTGGCCACTTGAATTTCCGCAAGAACATTGACTTCCTACTGTCGAAATCAGTGCTTCTTGCGGAAATACTATGCTGCTCCCGTTCGGGCAAAAGTCCTTTTGCACAAAGCTTTTGCGCAAAAGGGCCAGTGTAGACAGCTCAGATTTGTTTTGCGCAAAAAAGCCCCGATCGCGAAAATGGTGATCGGGCCTTTTTTGTGGAAAAGAGCGTCTAGATTGGCACGGACGCTTTTCCGCAAAAAGTGCTTTTGCGGAAAAGCATCTATGCCAATCTAGACACTCTTTTCCGCAAATGCTTTTAATGGAAAACTTTTCCGTTAAAAGCATTTGCAGAAAATCATGCCAGTCTAGACGTAGCCTCCAAGTTTCTGGTTGTGTTTCACTGTCAGTTTAAAACAGGATCTCTGGGAAACACTGGATTGTGTTCATTTCCACAGGCACAGAATAAAGCCTGCATTGAGAGCCACACCAGTATGCCTACTGGCATACACACATTTGCTCACTTTTGCTAAATCTAGTATATTTGAATTCAAGGGCACTTGTGCTTATAGTCCAATAAGGAGTCTGTTTCAACAGTGTCATTTAATGATTGTTAGTATCCAGGATTCTGGGATTTTCTCTCTACCTCTGTCACTGATTTGCTAGATGAGCTGGGGTAGGGCTCTTTGTGGCACTGTATCCCTTTAGCAATCTGTTGAATACACAATACTTACCTTGCAGGAATGTTGTGATTTGTTTATACAATGCAGTGATTTCCCCAGCAAAGGCACCAGCAAAAATGTGAAGTAGGATGATTAATAATAGAATACGAGAGCTGGCTAGAGGGTTTGCACTATCTTTTAAAATAGTGATACTACTGGGACAGCCACGAGTGACCTGTATTTCACTGGGAATTCTCAAAAGACACAGCATGCACTCCAGTCTGATTAACTACAATAAAAAGTTCCCAGCAACGTCCTCTGCTAGATTTGAGCCAGCAACCTAGAAATAAAGGCATGTTCCTTTTTGTTTTAATCACTATTCCATGTCACTGGGCTTGATTCTAACTCATCAGGAATTTCCCATCTTACAGATGAGGCAGTAGGGCAAGCGGTATAATTTTTAACACACAGTTCTAACTTCAGTGGTACTGTGCTCATTTTATTTTAGAAATAAAAAAAGTTCTATGTAGTTGTCCAGTGAAGGCAAAAAGTGTTTGAAGGCACAACGTATTTACAACGCACAAGTAACAGTAATCGCACAGGGTCCTGATGGACTTGAAACTTACATACAATCAAACAACGACAACCCAAGACTAGGTAGAGGAAATACGAGAGCTCCTTGGCTGTGCCGACCCACCTTTATCCAGCCCAGTGTGCAGTTACTCTGGGCAGTTATGAGCATGAAAAATACAACTTTGTGAACATCCACCTCGCTGAAACAGATTTATGCAAACTCCATTGGCAACAACTAGTGAGATTGGTACATACAACCCAGCGTCACCCCCTCTGGCTCAACTGATTGCTGCCCAAACATATGGACATTTAAAAGAGCCAGCTTCTCCATGAACACCTTGGGCAGTGAGGCGGATCTGTGATGCAGGAGCTGTGGAGAGCAGGATTTGGGAGCCTATGGGAAAGGAGCACGCAACTACTCAGCCAACAGTGACATCCCAGTGCAAGACGGGGTGGGGTTATACAGCCTCATAGTTCTTACACTGACATCAATAGGACTCCGTGCAGGACCCAATCCACCGACAGAGTTTCAGGAAAGGATAGATGTTCTAGGAGCACAAAATTAGATCCTCTCTTGCTTGTACACCAGAAGGGGGAGGGAGGGGAACAGGGCAGGGTAGTTTTATTTGTTGTTGGGTGGAGGAGGGGGAACATCAGTGAAGTCCTGTTCTCTGTTTCTGGCAAGGAGGAATGCCTCAGAAAGGACGTGGGGCTGGCTTGCTGTCCAGGTCAGGGTATGGGCATGGTACATCTTGCTGATCAATCGACTGGTAGGCACTGCGATCCCGGCTCACGGTGGGAAAACCTGTGTGGAGAAATGCTGTTGAAATAGTTTGGTTTGGCCTGTTTGAGCAGTTTCCTAAGAGATCTAGGGGGTGGCAGTGGGAGTGGAGGGGAAGGGGGGCGGGTACCGAATCCATGCTGCAATAAAATACAGAAAGCACAGGACAAGCTTTCAGACAATGCCAGCTCAGGAAGCCACATAAAATTCATGTGCACTTCAGCACTACATCCCCGTAATTGCACCCTTGCACCTCAGGATTTTGGTGACGTATGTGCTTGTAATTATGCTCATTCAGGTAAAAGCACGTATCCTTCTGAATACAATTAGCACAGGGGTCAGGAAGGATTCCCTCGCCCAAGCACCATGCTCAGCATTGCACAATTTGCCAGGTGCAGGAGTGTTGCTGAAGCAGAAATGGGCAATGGCCAGATGCAGGCAGAGGGGATGGAGCAGTATGGCTAATTCTAGACACCTCACTTTGCCAACAGCTCTGAATACCCAACACTGCTGCCCAATGGTCCTCTACAATTACAATGGCACATCAGGTATTTTAATAATGGCGTAGTATAACCATGCTGCAAGCGAGGCCTCCAGTCCAACTATCTTTCTCAGGAAGAAGGGGCCTGACACTTATTCGGTGACTCTGCTGTGCTGGCCGTGATAGACACGGGTCCTGGAAGGAGTAAGGTACCAGGAGCGTGTATAGGAGTGTGCCAGGCATCCAAAGAAAAATACTTGTGAGAAGTGAGCATGGGCTGCGTTTTGTTCAGAGGGGTACTGCTCTTGCAGCCATATGGCTAAGTCAAATAGCCACACTGCCCGATTACCCCCAGGAGAAATGCTGTTGAAATAGTTTGGTTCCGCCCGTTTGAACAGTTTCCTGAGAGATCCAGGGGGTGGCTACTGAATCCATGCTGCAATAAAATACAGAAGGCACAATGCCTAGCTGGTGGAAATCGTGTATGATTTACCCATCCCTCCCTCTTCCAATAAGCCCAGCCTCATATCTCTGAGGACTGGTACAAAGCAAAACATATCACACTTCAATTTAAATACAACCATGCCCTGATTATGTTACAAACACGGTTTGCTGTGTTCAGCATCTTACAGGGTCTTGGTGTATCCCCGTGGCGACGAGAAGGCGAGAGAAGCTTTTTGTCTATCTAGGCTGCTCAACTGTCATATGCTAGAAAATTATTTAAATCAATGCTAGTTCCTGACACATGTGACAGCCCCTGCTGACAGCAGGCAGGGGGTAGGGGGAGCTGCCAAGCAACAGACAGCTGTTCTGCATAGAAAGGAACAGGCTCAAGTGACCAGGAAAATGTGTAACAGGAACAAAGTGGGACAGTTGCATTGCAGTGATGAACCAAGAAGAGGGGGCAGTTGGTGAACGTGTTAATCTTGGATCAGTGACTCACGCCTCGTACAGAAAGGCTGCAGAGAAGCCAAGTCTGGGTCAGCGCAGGGAACTAGTTGCTCCCGTTTTTATTGAGTTCGGTTTGATAACAGAGCATTGTAGGGCTACAAATGGGACCCTTGTCCATGGCTCACTTATGGGCTGGAAGAGGCCGCATCTAAAACCCAGAGAGGTGAAGGGAGCAGCGCTCATGTCTCAGTGACACCTACTCTGCCTGCCACAAGCAAGCAGGTGGGAAGTCTGGATTAGAAGCACAGCAAGAGGCTGATGGTCTTGGTTTATGCCAGACCATGCAGAGGACCCACAGGGACTGGGCTCCTCAGTGTTCTGCTTGCATGGATGGTGTGACAGGAGCGACTGGCAGGCATCAAAGCCATTACACTAGGTGGGATGTGGCTGGCATCCTGCAGCTGGCATCTCCAGATGCCCAAGCTGATCCCATCCGGATACTCCAGTGCCTCCTTTCATGGGAAGCCTTATCTTCTGTAGCAGTGCAGAAGCAGACCAGTGAGGTCCTTCTAACACATCAGCAGGGAGCCAAGGGGTGGAGGGGTGCATTAGCCTGCTCTTTGAAGAGACAAGGGTGGAAGGCTGCTATTCCGCAGGTTTTTAGGAAGCAAAAGGAAGCTCCAGCATGCATGGGGACCCCGTACAGGCAGGGGGAGGAAGCAGCCAAGGCTTGGGATTGGTACGGTCCAACAGGGGCAGAATTCTCTTGGCAGCCTCTACCTGCAGGACTCTCGGCCATCAAAGCCCTAGCAGAGAAGCTCAGTGTGGATTTGCAAGCCAGCTAGTGAGGACTCAAAGACTGGCTGATAAGCACAGCAGACGGTCATTTCATAGCATATAACATCCTCTTTTCTCTGCGGAGGTCACTGAGGAATTGTTAACGACAGTGTCATTTCACAGCATATAACATCCTCTTTTCTCTACAGAGGTCACTGAGGAATTGTTAACGACAGTATAGACGTGTTTCACCTATCTCAGACACTGGAGACATCAACTATTCTCCACCATGAACCTCCCTCCCAGCAGAGAGGTAGATAGTCGCCCCGTATTTCAGAAGGGGAAACTGAGGCATGGAGTTTAAAACCATTTGCCCAAGGCCACACAGCAAGGCTGGGATGAGAAGCCAGGCTCTCACATCCATGCTTAGTTGTGTAGGCAACACAACCTCATGTGTTCTCTCAACATGCCTTCATTTCTCCCTTTTACCCTCTCCTCTGACCTCCTCCCCAGTCACAGCTAGCGGGCACAGAAATGGTTGGTGAAGAAGGAAGACAGAAAGGCTTCCAGCACAACCACGGGACACAGATAGCTAAGAAGGAAGAGGGCAGCTCAGTTACGTTGAACAAGGGGGATAGCAGCGGAGTCAATACCATCAAAGGTAAAGCGGCTGTCGGACGAGGACTCCAGGTCTGCAAGGGAAAAGACGGAGAATATAAAAAACACGAGGCATGAGACAAACAGGGAGCATGAGAACAGAACAAGGGGAGAGTGCAGACTGGGCAACAGAGACACCCGCTAGTACAGACAGAATCCAGCTGTGCGTATCTCAGACCAAAAGCAGGTAGATGGACAACAGGGAAGGGGCAGGCTGCATTGATTTGTGGCCTCCTACCTAGGTTGAAGGCGTACTCTCCCCCACGCTCCCGGTACATCTGATAGACAAAGAAGCAAGACAAGGGTTTGAGGAGGAGGCTGAAGATGGCCATGCCCGCAGTGAAGCGCTGCAGGTCCGTTAGATTGTGACCCCGGGGATAATAGATGCTCAAGTGAATGATGTCCGTCAGGATCGTAAGCAACAAGCCAATCAGGAACTGGAAATCAGAAACATGAGGACATTGATTGGACATTTGATTCACCCACAAAAGCCAAACAGCCCAAACCAACAGAAGCCAGAGTCTTAGGATGTTACACATCTCTGCCTTTGAAGATCTGTGCTCATGTGCCACTGGTTTTACCTTGCCTTACCTGGAGGCCAGCACGAAATTGTAATTATGGGGACCTCTCGCACATGGATTTCACACCCCTGTGACAGATGTGTCTCCTCCCTCCTGTACTTTTCTCAACACTGGACGCTTTCCTCTGTTAGGGTTGTTAGATGTGGTGTAATTGAATAATCATGTAAACGCATGAAATCTTAGTGGTTACGCGACTATTCAGTAGTCCCTGGGGGTGAGTCTGGCAGCCAGTGAGCTCCTGGCCCTGCTCTTATGGAACCCCCTTGCTGCTGCCTTCTCTCTATTTAGTGTAATTTGATTCTCTGTCAGAGTCAGCAGATCTGGGTGCCAGGTAGGAACTGGTCCACCAGGGAAGCCCATTTAAAAATCAACTTCATGTGCAGACTAGCTGCCTGCCTCCCTGTGCTGCTGCTTCTGATAGAGAGGCAGCAATGTGCGGTGACAGCAGCTCCTGTCCACAAGGAGCTCGGACCCCTCACAGGCGGGCTGCCGCACCGCACTGCTGCCTTTGAGGAACTGTAATTGTACGGTAATTCCTCATTTAACACTATAGATATGTTTCAGAAAATGATCGTGTTAAGTGAAAACGTGTTATGCGGGGTCAATTTTCCCATTGAAAATAATGGAAAAGGTGAGTGTTTCATTTCAAGCGGTGCTGTCTGTTGGGACTGGGACATGAGGTTGGGGGAGAAAGGGGATTGGGTTACAGCAGGGAGGGGAGATGTTTGGCTCTGGGGAAGGGAAGGGGAGGAGAGGGAAGGGGGACTGGATTGGGGGGAAGCCCCTGTGACGGGTTTGCCAGGACCCGCACTGTGTCTGGCGAGTGGGGAATCGCCGGGGAATGGCGCAGAGAGCGGCGAACCCTCCGCTGCTTTGCAGGGAGGTGGGGGAAGTCCCGCACAGCTGCCAGTAATGGGCCTGCCGGGGGAAACCCAGCCGCCGGCCTGCAAGTGGGGGTGGACGAGAGCGGGGAAGGCGTCCAGTGAGGGGGAGTCAGTGGGGAATGGTGTGGCAAGCAGCAAACTCCCCGCCGCTTTGCAGGGAGGCGGGGGAAGCCCCACACAGCTGCCGGCAACGAGCCGGCTGGGGAAATCGTGTTATTGGTGGGATGGTCGTGTAATTCAGAAAACATTCCCTACAAAAAAATTGTGCTATCGCAAAAACGTGTTAAGTGGACACGTGTTAAATGAGGAATTATTGTACACAAAATAAGACTTAAAAGGACAAATATATTTTAGTTATAGTTACCTGAGGTCTTACTTATAGCCATAGTAGGTAAGAAGTTGAGGGACTAATTTTGTAATTAGAATATGTCCCTTTCAAAGAGGGAGACCAATTTATTTCTACAAACAAGTTGAACACTGTGGTTTGTTTTAAGGCAGTAGGTGGTAGTTGCAATGTCCTGATGGAGGGTGTATCTCTTTTGTTGCAAGTGTAACAGGATGCAGGGTAAAGAGTTCATTCAGAGCTCTGCACACAGATCCCACTGGTGTTGACCTTTGGTTAGGTGCTGAACTAGTGTGAAAATTTGGCCCCGAGAATCGGAACTGCCCTTTTTCATTCCGAACACAGATGAAAAGTGGAACCGATTCAAGGGAATTTCTACCCATAAAGCAGTGACGTCTTCCCTCACAACGCCTCTTACAGAGCCCATTCGGGAAGGTATCTGCTCCCTCTCCCTCTCTCTCTCTCCCTCTCCCTCCCTCTACACACCCCATCTATCTCTCTATCTCTCTATCTATCTTGTTCATAAGACAATAAACTGATAAATCAACCAGGTAAAGTAAGAGCAGCTGCGAGCTGTGGGTTCAACATCTATCTTGGGGATTGCTGGATGTGGCCAGGGTGAGACCTCCATTGTATTCCCTAGTCAGGACAGTGAAGTTTCCCCATTGGTAGGAGTCAGGAAGCGCTGCATAATCCATGCATGCCCTAGCAAACAAGGCACAAAAACCCACTCAGAACACATGTGGCATGAACAGTGTGAGCTTAACCACTGGACCTCAACCCCATTACATCCGTGTGGGGCAAGATTTCAATACGCAACTCTAGCTCTGCTCCAGAAAGATGCCAGGTTTTCCCCTGCACGTAAGACTCCAAGGTTATCCTAATAACCAGTTCCAGCAATATGAAGAGATTACTTCCCCACCGCTAGAACACTTTATATATAGGAATTATAGGCTGTCTGGATCAATCATGGTAAGAGCGAAGAATGACTACTACAAAAATCTGTCTATTTGCTACTGTAGGGTCTCTGGGTCCAACCCTACAAAACAGATGCACCAGCGTAGACATAGCCTGATCTTGCGCCAGAGCTATGCAAATGAGGCTAAGCATGGAATATTGCCGAGCCTCATTTGCATATCTAATGAGCCGTCATTTTTGGAGCTGTCTACACTGCCCCTTCTTGCGCAAGAAAAACCCTCTTGCGCGATGCCGTTATTCCTGAAAATAATCAGTGTAACAGCATTGCGCAAGAGGGCTTTTCTTGCACAAGACGGGCCAGTGTAGACAGCTCCTTCTGGAGCAAGAGCCTCTTCCGCAAAAATGGTGGCTCATTAGATATGCAAATGAGGCTCGACAATATTCCACCCTTAGCCTCATTTGCATAGCTCTGGCACGAGATCGCGCCAGTATAGACATAGCCATAGATTATTCCCTCTGCAGTCTTAGTTAACCTTTCCCAGAGTTCTCTCTATCATCCCAACATAAACAATGAGGTCAATTAAGCCCAAGCATTCACTATACCACAAGTGCAATTTGTACAGCCAAACCCCCTACAAATTGGGGATGTTAAAATGCGTTTAGTCAAGTAAATGTGTAAGGGCTGAAAAAGTCAGCGGTTTCACAGTTACATGGTAAGTGATTATTCCACTTTACTCGGCTCTGGTGAGGCCACATCTGGAGTATCATGTCCAGTTTTGGGCCCCCAGGGGGCTGGAGCATATGACCTACGAGGAGAGGCTGAGGGAGTTGGGTCTATTTAGTCTGCAGAAGCGAAGAGTGAGGGGGGTTTTGATAGCAGCCTTCAACTTCCTGAGGGGAGGTTCCAAAGAGGCTGGAGAAAGGCTGTTCTCAGTAGTGACAGATGGCAGAACAAGGAGCAATGGTCTCAAGTTGTGGTGGGAGAGGTCCAGGTTGGATATTAGGAAAAACGATTTCCCTAGGAGGGTGGTGAAGCACTGGAATGGGTTACCTAGGGAAGTAGTGGAGTCTCCATCCCTAGAGGTATTTAAGTCTCAGCTTGATAAAGCCCTGGCTGGGTTAATTTAATGGGGATTGGTCCTGCCTTGGGCAGGGGGCTGGACTTGATGGCCTTCTAAGGTCTCTTCCAGCTCTATGGTTCTATGCAGGAGAGGGAGGCAGGTGGTTCTCCATGAGCACTGGCTCCTGCCTGCCCCGCTTCACACACTGCTGCCTCTGATACAGAGGCAGCAGCACGAAGTGGATGGGCCTGCATATAACCAGGCATGTTAACTGATGAACTCAGGCTCATCAGTTAACCATATATATGGTTACACTTTCACATGCCTACTACAAAGAGTTAGGATTTTAAACAAAAAGATGAATTTCTTTAGGGGCTCTTGAAGTTTGTTCAGAACATTGTACCCAGCTATCCTCCATTGCAAGATATAGAATTACCTCCACCCTGTTATGGAGCTGTATTTACATGTAAAAACCTAATTACATAAGCAGCCATAGTGGAAATTCATTTTTAAAATAATTACAACAGCTATTATCAATGATAATTTTTAAGCTTTTTAAATGTGTATCTTAAATTTCCACAGGTGCAAGAAATTTTGGAGCGGGCGGTCAGACAAATTATTTAATGACAGCAGAATCTGAGATTCAAAACGTTAAGCTTTATTATTGTTAAAACATGAATTGTCAATATCATGTCAAAATTTTAGCCTTAAACCGAACTCTAAAGTTCTCACGCAGCCTTTTTCGTACATTGCTTGCGTGTAAAATTCTATTATTAATAGAAATATGTATTCTTAATGTGTGTAAGGTGAAATCAATGTTTACTGGCATTTACCGATAAAAGACTAATGCTTCCAAGTAGGCATATAAAATCCCACTTAACTGGTTCACCAGTTAAATGTAATGTTTAACCAGTTAACTAATTAAAGGGGGGGCTCCACCCTCGCCAGGCTGGAGCAGCACCCTACCACAGACAGCAGCTGAACTGGCCAGACTGGAGCATCCCTCCAGCGGCAGGCCCCAGAGGGCTGGAGCAGCCCCCACAAGTTACCCCTGCTTCTGAGCCTACATTTAAGTAAAAGTTCCAGTCAACAGTTAGCCGAATGCTCTGATTCAGGATGAAGTCAGTTTACACTGCACACCTGGTGGAGCAGAGACCATCTCTTACAAGATGTGTGTACTGTGCCTGCCACAACGGGGCCTGGACCTTGTCTGGGACTATCACAGTTTCTGGGTAATTACAACTATATCCCCACCTCCATGGGCCACTCCAGGATTGCCCAGTCAGGTTTCCAGCCAGTAACGGTCTCTGGACAGACAGCCTTGTCCCATTCCTTCTGGCTGGGAGATTTTACGGCTGTACAGTTCCCTGCCTCACGCTGCATTATCCTGAGCAAGCCAGACTGCCTAGAAGCCAGCTCCTATGCCAGGGGTGGGGAACCTCAGGCCTGGGGGCCAGATGCAGCCCCCAGCTTGCGTGGATCCAGCCCCCAAGACTCTCGCCCCCCCTCCCAGCACTGGGGAGCCCGCACTGGTGCTCCAGCCTCCCTGCTACCCCACTGTGGGGCTGGAGCACCCGAAATCTAGTAAGATGGGCCCCCTAGGTTCTTGTGTACAAGAGGAATATGGGGAGTTTCTTTCTCCTCAGTCAG